AGGCTTAGCTGTTTCCCCGAGTTGAGAATTTCAATTGAACTTTTCTTGGAATTATGAATTGCTGTTTTTTTGTTTAGTCACAGATAACCGACAAGTTGTATTTGCCTCAGATTATGATACACTGAGTAAACTTTCTTTTTAACATATACGAGAAAAAATCGGCAATAAGGAATTAAACAAAAGCGGGAATTGTAATTTTGGGTTACCTATTACATTCCAATAGCTGATACATCATAAATTTTTTATTCGCTTGCTTATATATGAAAGATTGACAGATGGTAATGTTTGGGTACCGCCTAAAACCATTTCTTTAATGTCCATAGTTCGAAGTCTTCAGCGTGTTATGGTCATCATACGTTGAATTGTCATAACCGCAGACATGACGAAACTGATCTCGATATGCCTCGGGTAACTCCGGCCATCCGAAAACGGTCGGGAACAAATCGGGTGGAATTAACAGACGATCAATGACGTGGATCACTCCGCTGGTGGTGCATATGTCAGTGGTGGTCAGTTGCGCTCCGTTTACAGTTATAGTTCCGTTATCTAAAAGAGACATGAATGCAAATTGGTAGTGACGGTGGTTGAATGAAATGTTAGACATTAAATAAAGAACAAATGTATGGAATAGCGGGAAGTAATCTTCTACTCCAAGAACAGAGAGCTTTAAATTGCCAAGTTGCAATTGGTTATTGAGCAGCGTGCTATGGTTTTAAATACATAAATAAATAAATAAATGAATATAGTATTCTAAAAAGGCAGTAATATCACATTAAGCCAGCCATTATCACTATAGCAAACCAGTTACACAACCAGTTACTAGAACACATTTTAAAAGTTCACATGGTTTTGCAAATTAAACCCATTTAAACTATATATACAGGAACCATATTCGAAAAAAAAACCTTAGCTGATCAGTGCACGTGGTTCAAATGATGATGGTAGTGAATACAATCCCTAGAGGTTGAGCGAATGGTAACAACCGTCGTGATTAGACAAAACAATTTTGGGTTTGCTTCAGTCCATATACTTGGATTCTCTATAGATGAAATTTCGACTGCTTACACAGTTTATTCACCCACAGCGAGAGACCACATTTCGTCTTCAATTCTTGTTTTTTGTAGAATCCTTTCTTAAAGATAGTCTGCAACACCTTGCTACAATTTAAGAGGTCTGGAAAGACAGATAGAGGCTTAAACAGCAATAAATTTTTTACGGTTCCAAAGGTTTGAAATCTGTCAAAGAAGTGGTTTTAACCTTTATTAAAGTCTATTTATCGTAAGCATCAGACAGGAGTCTAAACGTGTTACCAAGAGTTAACTAGAGCTTATGTACCATTGAGGAGGTCAGTGTCATTGGTCAACCTGTCCACCACTTCCTCCCCCAGCTCCTCGAAGGCAGCATCACTGGGGATAAATAGGGTACACCCTCCAAAGCCGTGGCCATGGTGACTGTAACCATAACTACTGCTGTGATGTGAACTGTGATCTAGAGAGAGAAAGAGAAAAAAATTGACAACTGACACTTCAGGTTTGCCAACATAACAGTACTTATGAACCGCATGTGCATTGTTAAAATGTTATTATATTAAAGTTAAAAAACAGGAAAAAAAGAAACGCGAGATATCAAAATGTAGGCTATCGATACAAGAAAATGTGTAAAATAGGCGCTGTTGCGTAGAACATTTAAACGATTTCCACCCTTTTTTACGTGCTTTTAAATAGATGTATTCTATTCACACAAACTACGTTCCATACCTGAAAGCAAATCCGTTAGGTTCAGCAACTGCAGACCGGTCGTTATATCCCAGTCTGAGGCGGTGTCGTTATCCACAGTCTCCAGGTCAACGGGTAGACACAGGAGACAGTCTACCAGGTGGACCTTCCCGTTCTTAGCCTTCCAGCTGTCCTTAATCCGGGATCCGGACACATAGGTTTGCTGTGGGGGATAATGAGAAAGGTTGAAATATACTTGAAAACCAACAGAGAAGTCAGGCGCCTCACTGAATAATAATAATAATAATAATAATAATAATAATAATAATAATAATAACATCTCCTGCAAGTAAAATCGGTCTTGTACAACGGAAAATGAAACGATTCTCCAGATAATCAGGCAGACTCTTCAAATCAAGTTGACACTCTTTCATGTCAAATCAGACATCTATAAATAAAAAGATTGATACCATAGAGAATTTGGCTAAAGTTCAAACACAAAATCATGTAATTCTATTCATATAATTCTTTTGATTTAATGTAATCAACATGCTCTTCAAATACAGAAGACCCACAAACCTAGACCCCGTTCCCATACCTGGATCGATCTAGCAGGATCGACCCCTCTCCGAGGGGTATCTCGCTAAATTGCATTCAGCTTTAGTGGCTTAGATGTCTGGCACACCTACTGAAGTTGCTAAACGAAAGTTTTAACTTTTAAAATTAACCCTAACAGTTTCAGTAGGTGTATCAGACATTTAGCGAGAAATCCCTCATGGATGTGTCGATCCTTCTAGATCGATCTAGGTACGTCTACAGGATCAGCTGGCACCAACTGTGATAACAGCAACTGGCTCCCTCTTACCTTGTGGTATATATTAATCCGCAGTTTTGTTCCAGCCAGAGTGTGGTAGCTAGCATCGTTCTTCAGCTCGTCGTATCCCAGAATGCCGGACACAAAATGTTGCTTTAACAGAGCCGTGATGTTGTCCACTGTGTCCGAGTTACTGACGTTCCAGAGCTGGTCACGTGTTTCATCTGACAGTTTAGCGAAGCAATAGTCACTGGGTGCGAATACAGTGTAAGGACCTGCCCAGTAGGTAGAGAACAGTGACAATAGAATAGCTGATCTAATACAGAAATATGTTATTTATATTTTGAGTAATGAATTCAACTCAGGGTGCAATTTACTATTTTTTTTGTGCCAATGCTTATCTAGACTTATTGTAGATACATGTACTCTGTTTTATCACAATTTATTTATCTATACTTTGTGATATACTATGTACGGTTGGCATACACCTTTATATATGCATCCTAGTTGTTCACAATCTTCTCACCATTGCCATATCCTAAAAGATCAGTCACGTTGTACTTGTCTAAGAGTTCGTAGAATTTTGATGCCTTGATGAACAGCAATTCTTTCAAACCGAGCTCGTGGTCATCGTAACTGGAATGACCACGGCTACCATGACCGCGGTTTCTATACCCATGATTGGAGCCGTGGTCGTCACCATAGTTACCAGAATGTCCAGCAGAATAATCACCATGGCGATTGATATTACGGTATCCATGGTCACGTTGTTGATTGTTGTAATCGGATGAATAGTCACCATGGCTACGTTGATGATGTCCATACGCTGAGTCATGATTGTCCGAATTGCCATATCCAGACTGGCGGTCGTATCCATCATTTTCAAAATTGGATCCCTGATAACCGTGCTGTTGACTGTGGCCATAACCATCCCCGCCCCCATGTCGACCGAGACTATGGCCAGAACTGTGTTGGTTTCTATACCGCCTATACCCGTGTTGGTTTCCATAGTTACGGTTGCCATAGACTGGGCCTTCCCAACTGGAGTCTTGTTGGTAGCCATGGCGAGGCGAGCTGCTGTATGTCTCACTCTCGTAGTCATACCTGCTGTAGTGACTAAATGTTGGTCTACGACTGTTAAATGTCTCCGACTGAACAAGTACTATACAGAGAATACGGCTGAGAATAGCTAACTTCCAGATAGCTAGATAGCCTGTTGACGCCATACTTGGCTGTTCCGCTCGATTTTGTGGGCCCAAAAATATAGCCTAGCAGTATGGATATAATCTGGCAATAGATATAAATTTTTTGTTGTCAGGCACTTTGAAAACCTCGTGTACTCATACCGTTGTTCAGTTAATGATTTGCCACCCAGCTCACTAGAGATTCCACCCAGCTGTTTTTGTTTTCACCATGAATCGTAAATTGGTAGTCTGTGTTTCTTTCTGTTTCCTACAACTGTACTGTTTAGCCCGGCAATATACAGAGGGCAGTAATAAAAACAACTTGCACAGAAGGTATGCTGTTTAATTAGGCATATAACAAATGTACTTTCATTGGTTCAGTTATAAAATTCGATTTATGTCCCTTTTAATTATCGCAGGCATTTGGCACGGCGAAACGCTAGCTTTAATGTCCATAGCTCGAAGCTTTTCCACCTGCTTTAGCTTGCAGCATTATCAGAGCTCCCGGCGTAATGGCGGCTGAATCTGTAGACCTGTAGCCGTTAATGCGCACCTTTTGTCACCCCGCCATCGGAGGCGTATTTCACATCTGTTTTCCAGCTTCATATATGTAACATACAATTTACGTGCATTTATTTTGCTTAGCTAAGTTTTATGAACGTGAGGTGGTTAATAAAACGCATATGTTCTAGTATAGTAGAAGAAGACGGCACGCTATCTCTTTGTGGCCTAAGAATACCCTCTGAAACAACTAGCTGTATCAAAATTAATTTGAATAACTTAACATCGATGTAGTCATTATTTTCAAAGCTGTTCCGCGCCAGGAGGAAATTGCGAAACCGAAAAGGATATCTTTCGCCCCCCCCCCCCCGCCATAAAATAATAGTTTTCAAGTTAGCCCTGATTTTACATATATTTGTCCATAAGTCTTTAACGATATTTTACATGATATTCGCTGAACATCAAACGTTTAGAGAAGATATCAGAATAGAGAAAGAATATATTACCCTTTAGTTATCAGTCAAAATTGCAACATTTCAAAAACATCATCCACATTATCCATCATGTGTTAATTATTAATACTATATGATACAACTCCTCGTTCTTTGCATTTGTTTCTTTATTGTTTACTTCAGAATAATAAAAAAAACGTAGAATGTTCCTGTAATTTTGGTCATATGTGGTTCCTTGTCAGGGGCGGATTTAGGCCGTCTTCTGGGTCTTCCGGAAGACGGTCAGATTTTCAAGTTTACATTGACGGGTATCTATTTTTTCCTGTTGGAAGACGCTCAAAATTGGAGGATGAATCAACAAAGATAATTTGGAAGACTGTCAGTAAATATCTCTGGATCCGCCCCTGCTTGTAAGTTTTGCAAGTGTTATGGTTATTGTTAGGTCTCTCCAATCTGTTTGTGCCATTTAGCCAATGATGACTGGAGGAACCTCTGGGATTTTGGAGTCGCCGGAACCACCAGATCCACTGTCTCCGACTAAAATGAAATATAAAATATACAGCTTACTGAGGAAATATTTTCGACTTCTCTACCATCTGACACGTTCTAACAATCTCCAATTCATACCCGTTTTATCACAATGGTATCTGAAACACTGTAATCATTACTTAGAGATGTTATGTGTCCCTGGCGATATACGCTTGATTCAGTTAAAGGGGTGTTCGTTTGTTCGTTGGTGAAATGCAAGTATTTTTTCTCGGTATGTGCAAGTGTTTCGCATCTAACGCATACTCAATCACTGTTCTGTCACACGCATAGAAAACATGCTTTTTTTTCAAATATTGATTCAAATCATAATATGGTAAAAGTTAGCTGATAGAGTGACTTAAATTTATCAACAGTATATTAGTTATCATTGAAACATGTACTCAGTATCTTTCACAACAGTGAAAGGCTAATTAATAAAATTAATTTATCACTTTTGCCTTACCTGTATATAGAGAAAACTCGTCATCGTCGCCACAGATTTGGTTCCGGTTGCCAGAACAGGTGTCGGAGCATTTGCCCGGGCGCAGAGTTGACTTTATCAGCTCGTTGCCACAGTAACACTCATTACCGTCCTTCAGACCTGAGAAAATGATAAGAGACACCGTACACCTATGCCCGATACATATATCTTAGCTCATCATTGTATCATGTATATACAGATAGGCCACGTGTGTCTTAGAATGAAAGCAGTGCGTTTAGAAGTTGGTTAGTTGAAAACCTTCGCACACTAGTAAGGCTTTTAATTTTCGAAGTGAAACTTTACTGTGTGTACCAGGCATTTTCGCCTGGATATTTCCCCAAAGAAATACAGAAGTAGAGAAAAGTTGCCATAAGG